TGTACCAATGCTACTCTTTCAATAAAGCCTTTTTTTGTTTGATTCCATACTGCATGCATTCTATTCATTTTTGTGGTAGTATACTTTCTTCATCTTTTAAGTACAAAATACTGTCTCTGTATTCTGAATTTCATGACTCCCAGGCAATTTCTTATGAGAGTTATGGCAAAAAAAACAATTGTTGCTTAAGTTTTGCTCACCAGTGTAATTCTGAAGGGAAAATTTATCCATACATACAGTTTTAAAAGACGAAACTTCTGTAATTTCTCCTTCCAGGTTAGTTAGATTTTCATCATATAAGGACCTTGAATAAGTTCTCGCTGTTTTCCAACAGATGGTGTTACCAGAACCACGTGTGTCTATTTTTAGATGGTGACGCATATGTAAGGAAGTACAATAAGTGACCTTGAAATTCAGTATACGTCATTTTACCGAAGTGTTAAACAACTTATTTTTTCATTGTGTTAAACATGTCTAGTTTCGTGCCAAAAAAAGAGTATTTGCGGGGAATTTTATTGCACTATTTTATTCAAAAAAAATCTGCAGCAGAAGCGCACAGAATTCTTGTTGAGACTTACGGCGACCATGCTCTGTTGGAAACAACATGCAGAGATTGGTTTAGACGCTTAAAAAATAATGATTTTGATGTTGAAGATAAAGAACGATCTGGTGCACCAAAAAAGTTTGAAGACAAGGAATTAGAGGCATTACTCCATGAAGACTCATGTCAGACGCTAGCTGAACTTGCAGAATCATTAGGAGTTGATCACACAACAGTTTCGAAACGTTTAAAAGGATTAGGAATGATTCAAAAGCAAGGACATTGGGTGCCGTACGAGTTGAAGCCGAGAGATGTCGAACGCCGTCTTTTCACATGTGAACAGCTGCTTCAACGGCAGAAAAGGAAAGGTTTTCTGCATCGTATCGTGACGGGTGACGAAAAATGGATACACTACGATAACCCTAAGCGTAGAAAATCGTGGGGTAAGCCCGGTCATGCATCAACATCGTCAGCAAGGCCGAATATCCATGGTTCGAAGCTTCTGCTCTGCATTTGGTGGGATCAGCTAGGTGTAGTTTATTACGAGCTGCTCAAACCAAACGAAACTATCACGGGAGATCGCTATCGACTACAATTGATGCGTTTGAGCCAAGCATTGAAGGAAAAACGGCCGCTATATGAGCAGAGACACGACAAAGTGATTTTGCAACATGACAATGCTCGGCCACATGTTGCACAACCGGTGAAAACGTACTTGGAAACGCTTAAATGGGAAGTCCTACCCCACCCGCCATATTCACCAGACATCGCCCCTTCCGATTATCACTTGTTCCGATCGATGTCACATGGCCTGGCTGAGCAGCACTTTCGTTCTTATGAAGATGCTAAAAAATGGGTTGATTCTTGGATAGCTTCAAAAAACGTGTCGTTTTTCCGACACGTTTTTTGAAGCTATCCAAGGAATTCGAATGCTGCCAGAACGATGGGAGAAAGTAGTGGCTAGTGATGGACAATACTTTCAGTGACGTGTTTATTACGACTTTTTTTAAATAAAGTGTTAATTTTCACAAAAAAAACAGCGAGAACTTATTCAAGGTCCTTATACTTCTTATGTAAATTAGACAGCTAGTCAAATTTTGATGACAATTTTTTCAGTTTTGATAGAATAGTATCAAAACATTTTTCAAGAAATCAGAATCTTCTGAGATATATGACAAGAAATATCCTATGATGCAAAATAATCGTCTAGTCAAGATGATTTCAATGTTGGTTAGCTTGGAGATCAACAACATTTACCAGCTGAAGTCGAAGCTTTATTGCAAGGAGAAGGTGGTGTATGAGACAACTCTTCCAATAATAAGTAAAAAGAACAAAATTAAAAAAGAAAGTATTACAGTTGAAAAAGACATCCTGAATTAAGTGAATTAATGGCAAACAGTTGAAATGTAGATCATAATAGTAAGTTGTAAAAATTATGCCAACAACCTGAAATGATCATATCAAACAAATTTATTCAGATTAAAAAGAAAAATCTGTAATAAATTATTACAAAGATATTAGAAAATATTGTCTTTGATGATATTTTTATTATCTTTTTTATAATAACATCCAGAGACAACAAAATAACAGATGAATCATTGAAAGTGTACTTGACACATTAATTTCCATTCTGCTGATTTGAGACATTTTTATAGTCAGTGACAAGTAAAAACAAAAATCTATAGTCAACTATCTGTTCCTTTCAGTATCACCGTTACAAACTTAATTTTCTTTTTCTCAAAATCTGAATAAGAGGTCATTCAATCCTTTTTAAGTCCTTTTTGATTGTTCGCTCTTTCCCAATACATTTTTCACTGTTTTTTAGATTTCCCTGCTGAGGTTACACTTGATTTGCTACCTCCTGATACTAGAATAAAGCATTTCTATGAAATAGATCTAGAATACATTAATTTATTCATATTTTCTGCCAAACAAGAATAATTTTAAAAATAGGCCACTAATAAATCAAAAAAAAATTTCTGGTTTACCACAGAAGACTCTGATGACATTGTACAAGACATTGATTTTTATCATTGATATTTGGTATATAATTAATTTTTATGAAAAATATACAGAAAAATTAGCTCCTACATGTGCTTTTTTTTTCTAAAAATAATTGTATTTATTTATATTATTTTATTAATACTTTTAATTATTTACTTATTAAATATTAAATAAATAAATAAATGTTATTAATATTTGTAAAAAAATAATGTTAGTTTTTAGATGCTTTCAGATTCTGAAATGAAACTTAAGTTTTCCTCCAAAAATGGTAAAGTAATTTTTGTAACATAATGCCATCTATTGGAGAAATAGTATAGTAAACTTAAAACAACAGTGTAACATCAGTGACATTAAAATAGGTTTATAGAGCATTTTTCACAATGAACGTTTGACATAAATCAAAGCCAAAAAAGCGATCACTGTGTGACTGAGAAGAAATCAGATCTGTTTATAACATTAAATAATGTCAGTTTTTAAAAACCATGAAGTTTTAATTAATATATAAATTCAATGTTAGCATTGTAATTTTATAGAATACTAAAATTTATTTACTTATTAATTATATATTGCTTTAATTTTCTTTCCATTTGATAAGATGCTTAACAATTAGGTTAACAATGTTTGCTATACACTCCTAGGCTGTTCGACCAATTGCTGTGAAACACAGCAATTACATTAACGTACTTCAGAATTAGATAATGTTGTACATCCTAAAATATCAATTGGATTTCTATATACCAATTAATTTCTGTCAGTTTGTGCATATATCTTACTGATAACAAATTTACATAGCTAAAAGTTTGCTATAATATAGCTACAATATAGCTATATTATACATAAAACTAATGTGCTGTATCTTCATGACCTCATGTATAGAAGAATATTCATATCTGAGTCATAATTAAAGTTTTTACTTTATTTGTAAATTTTTATTTGTTTGTTTTATAATTTGATTGTTTATTAGTAATTCTTGTATGAATTTTTTAAATTTGAGTGGTTGAAAAATTTTAACTAATATAATTTGCAATAAATTTTAATATAGGAACATTTTTAATGTAAAATAAAAACTTTGGGGAAAATTTGCAAGTGAACATGTTATGTAAATATTATTATTTTATTGATTAAAATTATATTTCAAATAATGATAATAGTAATAATAGTATGATAAAATTTCTTATAAAAATAGCTTATGTAATATTCCTACTTATGTTAATACAGTGGATTCCGCTTAACTGGGATACATTGGGACTAATCCATTTTGGCCCAATTAAGCAGCTGCCCCAATTAAACGAACTAATAATAAATTGTACAATAAAATATGTAATACGTAGGTAAATAAATAAGTAGGTAAAACATAATAATTAGGTACCTGTTTTAATGCTTTATTAAACTAAAATACAGAAAATATTTGTACTATAAATTTGCCAGATTCACGACGATAACTGATTTGCATAATGCTAGTGTTACCAAATATTAGTAGTGATGTAAACAAAGGGCTGACCATTCGATCCTTTCCTGATTGAATTTTTCCTTTCTTTTTAGTTAGAACATGTTCTAACTAAAAAGAAAAGGGTTCGTCCAAAAGTCATTTTACGGTCTTCCTTTGAGCACAGTTTCCTTTTCCTTTACTTGGAGATGGTCCACTTCGGTGGGAGTGTCCATAGAATCCATCAACTTATTGCTGGTCTCAACATTGGATGGCTGCTGTCTGAATCTAGACGTAATTATGCACGCAGTACCTTCCAAGGGAACTCTAGCTGTCTTCCAACTCAGTTGAGACCTCAAAAAACTGTCCTGTGACCTTTGTCCCTTTGCTTATAAGGGAATTGTCCGATCCAATCCAGAGCAGAGTCAGTAACTTGCATTCAGGTCCACCTCCCTGTGATACATCTCGCTGTGCTCACCCCTCCAGAAAAACCAAACTGCATGAGCAAGACAAAATCACTGTCTTTGCCAATTGTTAGGCCTACACGACATTAATGTATGCAGTGCCTACATATTTTCAGAAGATTACTAAAATATATAAAAAATTGCTAAATTCCTTTTTTGCTACTGTCCCAATTAAGCAAAAAGTTGTCCCAATTAAGTGATTAAATTATGTATTAATTTATTAGTTTGTTTTCCATTCTTTGAGATCTGGCTCAATGAAGCGGCTGCCCTGATTAACCGGTGTCCCAATTAAGCAGAATCCACTGTATTTATGAAAAATTTTCTGTAAATTTTATAAATAACTGAATTTTGATAAAAATACAGAAAATCTGTATTTATTTTATTTTAATTAAGTTTCTAATCTTAAAAAAAATAATTATGCATATAATTATCTATAATACTAATTTTAGTATTATAGTAAAAGGTATAATACTAATTTTAATGGTAAATACTTTTAATAATAATGCAATTTTGTACTTACAATTTTTCTCTATAAGAAATTAAGTTATAATTTCTTTTTATATAGTGGACAAAATGTTGAAGAAGCATTCTTAGAAACTGCTAAAAAGATCTATCAAAACATTCAAAATGGAAGGTAAGAATCACATTTAGCATAAAGTGATATTAGCATAAATTTTATTTATTAAAAATACATTAGGGAATGTATTAGATAGTGGATTTCCTCTTCATCCATAATAATAAAACCTGAACAAGAAATTAAAATACATAGAGACATAAAACATTATTGTTAATTTTAAGTACAAATATAAGATAATTAAAAAGTAAGTTTAAAAATTGTAAAGTATCACATTTTAAAGTATATGCTTACATATAAGTTTGAAGTGGGAAAAGTCTTCATGTAATACTTGTTCAACATTGCTAATATTTTGTGAAATATAAAAGTAGGTTCTTTGTGAAATAGATGACCAATTGTGCATTTTTACACCATTCTGTAGGTTATGTGTATTTTGCTGGGAGGCCTTTTGACAAAGCTAATCTGACCATAAATATGCATTGAAATATTTGATATTGTAAATGGCTGAAAAATTTAACACACTAAAAGAGGGAAGTTCCAATTTAGACCTTGCTGCTTTTGGATAATGGGTATATGAATGATTGCAAAATTTATTTAATTCCAGGTATATTTTATCAAGTCTTTTAGATATTATTCTAAAAGGAAAGGAGCAGTCATGGTCAGGATTTGAAAACAATAATCTACTAGCAATTGGAAATTTGTGGAGAAGATAGAGCATAGTATGATTTTTGAAGAAACTGGTTTGCAAAAGTGCCAAAGTATTCCTTGACAGATAGCAGATTTAACAATTTTGTCTATAAGATCTATAAACACGAGTTTATTATAAAAAATGATAGTTAACTCATTCAAACAGTTAATATATTTAATTATATGAAAGATGGTAAATCAGTATTCCAACTCATAGAAACACACAAGTTTTTTGAACATTAATTTTAAGATTGGCATTTTCAGAAAGAGCTTACAAGAGGTGAAATTCTGGTTGGAGAATAATGGGATCATAATTTATTAACTTCATATCATCAGCATAAGCAAGAACAAATGATATGAGTTGACTGAGCATGTCATTAAAAATAATTTTTCAAGTGTTACTATTATTGTATTTTTGAGTGATACTGACATTTAAAACCTATTGAATTGTAAAATTCTAATATAAATGGTAAAATACAAAATATCTGTGCTGTATTTTTTTATATGGTATAAAGTAATTATGAAATTTTCCATGAATGTTAAGCAATTTTTGAAAAATTTTTTTTCTATAGAATGTTTTTGTCTGTTTTATCCATGACATTACAGGAAGTTAATGATTTTTATAATTCTAAGTATAAATAACTTTCAAATTGTTTAATTCAGTTTTGATATTAATATATCAATATGTCAAGAATCCTAGACATGGAAAGAAAATTCGTAAAAAGTTTGGTTTTAATAAGGAAGTAATTTAGTTCTCTTTCCCTTGTAAGAATGGGCTTGTTAAAGTGTCTTTATTATTCTATAATTCAAGAGTGCCATTCACTTTATTTCTGAGCTGTTTTGGTGTCAATCCATGTTTCATCACCTGTAATGATGAGTCTTAAGAATGATTTGCCTTGAGAAAGCATATCCACAGCCACTTGAAAATTATGTTTTTGGAAAAAAATTCAGTGTTTTCAGGATGACTGAAGAAGCAGTGCCCCAAGCCCAAATGATCTTTTAAAATTGCTTGACAAGATCCAAATTATGCTGGAACATGTTCAATAATGTGTCTAATTGTTAAATGATGATCATTGAGCACAAAATCTCTGACTCGAGTGATGTGGTGTTCATCACACATCACTCGAGTCAGACATTGACAACTACACTTTGATTGAAGACTATCAAAGTGTAGTTTGTCTTCAATACATTCTCTGCCTTCCTTGAACACTTGTACTTCTCACTCTTGTTTTTGATAGACTTGTTACTAAAGGCTTTTTGCAACATTTCTAGCTACTTTGAAACAGTAATTCTATCACAAAAATAAAATTTAATGCACATTCTTTGCTCAATTGCACTTGTCATTTTGAAAAATTGCTGGAGAAAAAATTCATTACACACAAAACAAGCATTTATTTACAAACAAAAACAGACCATAGAACAAAAAAATGGCATCAGTGCCCTCTTGCATGTGTACTGTTTAAATGAACTATTTCCAATACTTTTTGATCTCAGTAATATTTAGTATTTGGTATAGCATGACTTTAAAAATCTGTGATTGAATCTATCATTAAATTCAATTGCTAAATATATTAAACTTTGCTTAAACTATTTCAAAATTAGTAATTCTTGGTGTCTTAAATTTGTAACTGAAGCATTGCTATGAAATGTTCATAAACATTAATTCCAATACAATATTTATTACACATAAATTAAAATGAATGTAAATTGTTCAAAAAGTTTGTTTTAAGATTATAATAGGCTTGCTGAAATATTGTGTGTAATATCTAATAAATTAATTTATTATAAGTTAGATAATTCTTAAAAGAACCAAACTGCAGTAACAATTCAAATTTATAATTTAGTACATTTTACAATTCTTGGAATTAAATCAAGTTTAGTGTTTTAATATTTCATTTAAGAATTAAATTTTTTAAAACTCGTACATTTATTTTATTTGTTAGTTTGGATTTAAATGCTGCAGAATCTGGTGTTCAGCATAAACCGTCAGCACCAAGAAATGCCTTACACAATGATCAGCAGACTAAGGAAAGTTGTGCCTGTTAATTGTCCTCCAAGATTAAAGTTTTGATGTATAGTTGGTGAGTAAATTTTATTATAAAGATTAAAGTTTTAATTTTATTGCAATTTAAAATAAATTGCCATTAAATAAGAATGCACTTCTTTCTTTGTTGTTATTATAGTGAAAGTGTAACAATGTTATTCTATTAGTTTCTTATTCTTTCAAAATACAAAAAACTTTCATACTTATTATTTTAACAGTGGTATAATGTATTTTTTAATAATAATTATAAGTGTGTATATATATATATATATATGTATGCTAGGCTCAAAGACAGAAGTATATATATATACACGTATTTGAAAATTTATTATTACATTCTAATTCAGAGAAAAATATTGGTATTATTGAGAGTCATGGCAGTGACTGACTCCTGTCAAGTAAAAACTCACTGACTGACTATATATATAGGAATCAGAGTTTCCATTTTTTGGGGGTCGATTTCTCTGCCCCAAATGTCTAAAGTAATTCCAAATATCTTGTTCAAATGGTAATTGCTTTCTTAGGTAGTGTGCAAACTTTCAAGCATTTCTATTAAGCGGTTGCCAAAATATAAGCAATTGAAAACTCAAAAATTGCCAAAAAGCCTATACTTCTTCTTTATGAGCATCTGCAATGCCGGATAAAGAAAGAGAACAAACTACTGGGTCTAGAAAGATCAAATTTTAAACTTAATCTCTCTGATAATGAGAAGACTTATTGCAAAACTTCCAGGTCAAAGTTCATGGAGGTATCTGATAGAGAGATTTCAGTTTGGTTTCTTTTTATACAGTAGACTCCCCTATAAAATGAGTTCATATAATATGGATTCGTATACAACTGCAAAAAAATTGCAATCATATTCGTATAATTCGCTAAAATGTCATCGCCAACTCGTGTCGCGACAGGATTGGTCGAATCTAGACGTTGAGTTTAAATGAGCAGCGGACCTACTAAAAACCATTTATTATTTAACAGTCATAAAAATTTATATTTATATTAATAATGTCTCCAAAGTTCAGTGAATTTTTCACAGAAAAATAAGTTATCAGAAAACACATGCCTGCCGTTTGATGTGCCGCTTCGTGATGAAAACAAGCGTAAGCAACGGCGTGGTCGAATGGTGCACACTCAGTAAGTAATCCTACAATTTTTTGTTTATAGCATAGTTTTATGGATTATTCCCAATAAATTATACGTGTTTTGGAAATGTTGAGTCAAATTAGTCTAGAATCGATTAATTTTATGGAAAATCTTTCAAACAGCCGTAGTCCCTAAACTGCATATGTGCTGGGCTGTGATTGTCTCATGTATTTAAGGGATTGTAAAACACGAATTCATATAAAACGGAACATATCTACTGTATTATAGGGGGGTCTACTGTACTTGTAAGGATAAAACAAAACAAATGCATTGAAACAAATTGTGACAATGTATGAAGTGCCCCTTATGCTTCCACACCACGGGACTGAAGGGTCAACATCATGTTGGTGATGACAGTCATCAGGACTGACACCACTGTGTCTTTAAGAACAGATACAGAAACCTCGATGGCTTTTATATTTGTTTTGTGTGAGCAGGTATATGTATAGGCACTTGGAATTGGAATGGAGATGAATTAGGTGAAAGAAGTGCACTCTACAACTCGATTACAAAAAACAATATCTGTTTAATTATTATAAGCTATTTACAAATAGGCTGAATGTAGGTTAATTACAATTGAAAGGTTGAACATTAGTTATTGGTGATCATGTTGTATATTATATAAGGCTAGTATATTATATTTAAATGCTATTATAACTATCCTTGTAAGTCCTAGTCTAGAGAGAGAGTTTATGAAGATTTGCAAGTGGATAAATACCTTGTAGAGAATCTGAGGATGTTCCTCGTGGCCAGTCGGGTTGATGACTTGGTGAGTTGATGACTCGACAACTTGATGATTCAGATTATTCAGGTAACATTATCAGAGGGATGTATCTGACATGTGTAAGGTATTCGAGAACTCGTGTGAACTCTAGAGAGGGTGAACTTCTGATAACGACAGACAAACTGTCATAATCTGACCTTGCCTTTTATTTGGGGGGGTCTCCCCTTTTTTGGTAAAGTAAATCTCCATGTCCAATAGCGATTTATTTGTTAGGTTACTGGTGATACATTTGATGTATCGTCTTGGAAAAGGAAGTGACTCCAGGGTGAAAGATACAATCATATCCTTTGCATTTAGTAATTATGGGAAAAGTTTTAACAATTTTTTTTATTTGCTCTCACAAAATGAATTTTATTCAAAATGCTATTTAGGAATAAGAAAAGATCAAATTTATGCCAATTAAAACTTTTTAAACAATTTTCCTAAATGGTATATTGAAAGTGTCAGTCAGCAGTGTGTTGGTCAGTAGTTGCCAAGTGTCTACTGAATTGTATGTTATTGGCTTATGTCTTGATATAATACAATTATTAAACAAAAACAATTGATATTCAAACAAAAAAATCTGAGATGTAAAAAAAATTGAAAATTATTACAATTTATATGACATTCAAAATTTTTTTTAGTTTTTCTTTGGTAAAGATTATCTTTGTGCTTGGAAGCAGTACCCACAAGATTTTTATCTATATTATTGTTTTATACATTTTTCTTCCAAGTGCCAAGCTTATCTTTATCAAATAAATACTCCTAGGAAAAATTTTGAATGATAGCAAATTTTTTTACAATTTAGATAAGTAAAAACTTTTGACATCTCAGATGTTTTTGTTTGGATATAATTATTCTGTGTAAAAATAAAATTAATGAAAATTGATAAAACATGTATTAAAATAAAAAGAAAAGAAATCTTTTAATTAATTTAAGAAAATTAATTAAAAGAAATCTTTTAATTAATTTAAAATGACCCAGTATGTCCAAGAATAAACAGACCACTTTTTCATCTGCTAAGGTCTTGTTTTAAAGCTTTTCAGATGAGTTATCTTCTACTGCCTTTGAAAACTCTAAGGCTTTTTTGGAGATTTGAAAAAATAACATAGAAGTAAAATAAAAAATATAAGTTTATGATCACAATGAAAAGTACTATTCAAGACCTTTCTAACAATACCAAAAATGTTTTGCTACATTTAAAGTAACTGGAGATCTTGCACTTTAAAATAATTAAATAATTCCTTATAATAATAATACAAGGTGTGACAATTTAATTCCTAGAATGCACCTTTAAAAAATTTATATGCGGAACTGTACACTAGTAGCTATTGTCATCTTCAAATTTCTCTATTGTGCATCTAAACACTGACTTCAATGGCATTCCCATTTCTGGAAGCATGCCTGAAACTCATTTTTCGGAATATTGTTGAGTACCTGTCTCTCATTCTGTTGGATATCAGTTATATTAGAAAATCTTTGTGTTTTTAGCACAGCTTTTAATTTTGGAAATAGCCAGAAATCACAGGGAGCTTAGTCAGGTGAATAGGCAGGATGATCTAATTGGGTAATTACACTTTTTTGGCCAGAAAATGTCTCACAGTGAGTGTACTGTGACTTGGCACATTGTCATGATGAATGATCCACTTGTCAGACCACAGTTAGTCTTTTTCTTCAAATAGAACCTCATAATTTCTTCTAAATAGCATTGTTGGATGACTGTCTTTGTTCAGTAAATTCTTGTTGGACTATTCAATTGTGATTGAAGAAACACACCAGCATGGTCTTAAACTGTGAGTGCAACTTGCATGCTTTTTAGGGTGCAGTGAACTCAGATTTTCATTGCATGTTCTTACATTTTTTTTTGAGTCATACTGTAACATTTTAGTAGTGTATTTGCTTCTTTTCACACACAATTTAATATTAAGACATTGCTCTAAATTTCTGTTACCTATTTTTACATGTAGATTACATGCAGATAACTATTACCTTTCCAATAGCTAATTAATAACTAGCTCTATCAGTTTGAAATTTACGCGTGTACTAGTTCCAACATGTTCAAACACACATGCAAATGTCATTTTGTTTGAAAATTGGGTTTTCTGAGGCTAAGATTTTTAATAGGTTTTTATTTCTTTTATTTCTAACAGTTCTTGGTAGATATTTTCATTCAAATTTCCATCAATGAAAAATGGGCTGAATAATCAATTAATCAGCCCATTTTACCCACTTTCTCACTAAAACATTTACTTTTAAACTTACTAACTTTCATCATTAAAAATTCACCTATTGGTCAAAAAAAAACTTAACATTGCCTAAAAAAGGGCATCGAAATCAAGGGACCCCGAAATAAAAGACGAACATTGTAACGGACACCAAGAGTTCACCAACCTCCTCCTTTCCGCATGAATGTTCTATCACCGATCCTTTTGATCGCCCTTTGCCATAGACACCCTAGAAACGAACATTTCATTGTGAACTGTATCATCAAGCAGCCTAACTCTACCCAACCAAGAAACCTCTCCACCCTGTCATCAGGACGTTTTGAGACTTCAAGACTGATAAAGCCGATTCGACCAATCAAGGTATTTAGCATCATGCAAAAGAATGCAAGTTCTCTCTCTCTCTCTCAGCTAACTTAGTATAAAGTAACAAAAAAAATGTTATGCTAGAAAGCCTCCTGTTATGCTACTGCTACCGAAGCTTTATTCATTTTATGACACTAGAATACTACAATGTTATCTTATGTATATGTGGAAATTATATACAAAAATAAATGGGTATTTTTAATTAAGTTGTAGTGTGCACTTCTTCCGGCCGCATTGTCTCTCAGGACATCCAACTCTCAAATCCGACACTCATAAATGCAATCACTCGCACATAAACAAACGAATCACCATCACCGATCCTAACATAGGCATCACTGGCCTGGTGCCGACCCTTTGGTCACAGAAATATGCTTAAAAATTGAAGCTTGGCATTGTGGCTGTCACAATAATTGCTCTCTTGTTTTATTGTATTGCAAACTGCCAATTGGTATTGAAAATATGGAAAAGTTGATGAACAGATTTGGTTTTATAAGAGTGATGTTTTTGTTTTTCACTGACATTTGACAGTTATGACACTCTCTTCTTCTGTTCTTCTGATATATTGAAGGATGTACCTTGATATGGACAGTTATTGGGTTGTTCGGAAAGTAAGTTTGTTTTCTTTCTGTGGAAAAAAAACAATATTTTTATAATAAATAAGTATTTTATTGAATTATATATCAACCATTTTGGTCAAATACTTGTCATCGTTTCTGGTAGTAGCATTATTTCACATTCATAAAAGTTTTGATCGTTGCTTACAAAAAAAATTGACCCGAGTGATTTTTGACATTGTCATTTCAAGTAAATGTCTTACAGTTAAAAAAAATTTGTATAGACCAGAACAAGTAATAATCTGAGTGTGCTTGATCTGGCGAATATTGTTGGTGTGATAGTATGTCCCATCTAAGTTATAACAGTATCTGATGAGTTACCAAACTTGTATGAAATTTCACATTATTGTGGTAAAACACTAACCTGTTTTGATGATCCGTTCTGGCCGCCTTTTCTGTTTGATGATATTACTCAATTTGTTTACTCAATGGCAGTACACTTTTGAATCAGTTGTTAAATTGTCTGGTAAAAGCTCCAAAAAAGTTTACTTAAAATTCCACCAAACAGAGCATCTCTCTTTAAGAACATGTGGAACTCGTATATCAAACTTTGAAACGAAACCAATTTGTTTCAAGTAATCATAAACAGTTCAATTTGACAAATTTAATCTTAGTGATTTCACGTGTTATTTGGGAGTTTGCTTCAATCAGTACCTTTATTTTGTTTTCATTGGCTTCAACTGGCCATCCAGAACATGGTGCATCTTCAATTTTGAAATTGCCAGAACAAAATTTTGTAATCCAGTTTTGGCACTGCTGTTCTGTTAATACATCTTTTCCATACACATCACAATTTTTTTCTTGCTTGAACAGCATTCTTACCTTCTCGGTAATAAAAAAAAGCAAAATATGCCGAAAATGATGTTTTCAATCTTCCATATTTAATGGGACACAAAAAATGAACAATTGCACAGAATCAAACAAAATGTTTTACAAATAAGCCTTAAAATGCTAGCTGTCAAAATTTATAATGATAATACGGTTTAGAATGAAAATTGCAGGAAAAATATGACTAATCAGTCTAGCTTTTCCGAACTTACTTTCCGAACAACCTAATATGTTGAAAGATCAATCCTGTGTGATCACTGATTTTCTTCTTCCAAATTTTTTCATCTGGCATCATAGTTTCCATCTGCATGAATATTTTAACAGTTCTTCCTGAAAACACAAAAGAGATATTTTTAATATTGAAAATCTCAATCTTATGAGCTTGATTGTAATAGGCCTAATATATTTTTTTTTAACTTAGAAGGATTCAACTTGTTAATAAACCTGTGGTTAGTGGGTGGATAGTTCATATTTTGCTCATTAAACAAATATGATGCTAACTTAACATTTTGTGAAATAATCTTTGAACCAGTTTGCAATGAACCATTTGTATTGCATTATCTGATAGCCCAGATATTACTAAATTTTCTTCTTGATCTTCCAATTTTGACACACTTTTGTACATTTCTTGTACTCTTCTAACAAAGATACACTGCTGGCCATTAAAATTGCAACACCAAGAAGGAAAGCAAATAAAAAAAATGATATTTATTGTACGTAAACAGTATGGCATGAACACAAAATGATTAAATTTGCAAGCAGTTTGGGGTTAACAGGGGTGTGAAATTAGTAGACACAGTTGCCACCTTTGGCAGTAAAACGGCCCTTATCTGATTAGGCATGGAGTCAAACTGGGTTTGAATGACAGAAATGGGCAACTCATTCCATGCTGCTTCAAGTCTATGCCACACTTCATCAACCGTATTAGCTGGAGAGGGGTGGCGGGGCAGTCTCTCAGCAACCCATGACCATATGTTTTCAACATGGTGAGAGATATGGAGACTGTGCAGGCCAGGGCAAAAATTGAATACCCTCTGTATCGTGGAAGGTCAGAACACAACATGCAACATGAGGTCTTGCATTATCTTGTTGGAAGATGGCATTTCGCAGGCCTTGAAGATAGGGCACAACCACTGGACGTAAGATGTCAGAAATGTACCGATCTGTGTTCAAATTACCATTGATCTGAACTAGAAATGTGCATGTTGTGTACTCAATGGCTGCCCATATCATCACACCAGTTGCAGGGCCCCTATGCCGATATCGAATGCAGGCAGGCGACAAACGGTCTCCTGCCTCAGAGCCTCCAGACACACATACGGCCATCAGAATGCTGCAGCAGGACCGGGACTCGTCTGAAAAGACAACATTATGCCATTTCTGTATCCAGCTTTGTCAGTGGGCGCATCAGAGTTGCCGTCTCTCTCTATGCTGCATTGTCAAGGGAAGCCAAAGTAATGGTCGCCGTGCTGACAGTCCACGCTGCTGCAAACATCGTCACACCATACGAGTGGATACTGAACATGCTGCAAACAAGCTCATTTCCTGACTAATTGTCCATGATGTGGTTGTACGGTTTTACATGGCTGACCTCACAATATGTCTGTCCTCTTGGGCATTAGTCATGGGAGGGCGTTGAGATCCTGCATGCTGTTTAGTAAGACCCTCAGCAACCTATCAATTCCATATTCGCATGACAGTGGTTGGATTTCAGTGCGAGTGGCAATATCACGGAATATCGAATTCCGACACTTGCTGGTAAGCATTTCTTCTTATTCGAGGCATAACACGATATTCTGATGAAACCCCAACCTTACAAAGTGATTTCTGAATGAGAAATCCACTGCACAACTTTTCTTTTATGCAGTACTTCAGATGTCGTTTGTCCCTCCTGCATCATCTAAATGCACTGAAAAACTAATCATTTGCATATCCCAACCGCTTCTTCCTTTCATATGATTTTCACGTTTGTACGATCATTCCTTCCTGGTGATGCGATTTTAATGGCCAGTCGTGTAGATTAAATAAAATTTATGTATTAAATGTGAATATCTGTATATTAAAAGCAAAATGTTCTGTCCCCATCAAAACTGAAACCAACACTTTACAAAGAAGCAGCATATAAGTAGATTACACTGGGTTGCCTGTGTGGTCTACAATTCATTCCTCGAAAAGACCACCTTCCTCTGTGGATTCTGCATGAATTCATGTAAGAGTTAACAAAGGGGAAGGCAATCTTTGTGTAGGGATAGGAAACACAAAAAGACTTCTCTTTTAATTCAGACTTGAAGTTGGAGACAGGTGTTCATTTGCTCCCATAGCAACTATTCTTTAAGTTTGATTTTTGAATAACCTTTGGTTATATACAGAATACAGATATACGGATTTAGTTTGTTTTTATATTAATTTAAGATTGTATATTTAGTGTAAATGATTAAGATTGTATTAATAACTGAAGGATTTCTATTCTCCAGAAGGATAAGAATGGATTCCACATGTGAGCACTAGATTGGAATGAATGCATTGACTGTCTTTCGTGGTCACCGGACCAGTCTTCTGCTGCAGGGAACAATAAATTGAATCCTTGGTTTCTCCATGTGACATATCCATTTGTATCTTAAATTACAAAAACTGATAGTTAATGTATAATGTGAGTAAATATTTATGATGTAAATTTTTAGAAATCCAATTCTTTCAGAGAACAAATCTATTCTCACAAAGAAAATATACACATGATTTATTGCTAAGTGATGTTTTTCCCAAAGATTTGATATGGCAGTTGCAAATTTAAAATCCTGGATTGCTAATTTATATTAGATATCTATTAAATTGGGTTTTCTGAATTCGTATTTAAAATTTAATTAAAGAAGGAAAAAAATTACCATATTTCTCCAAATAAATAAAATATAAAAATATCAAAAAAATTATTCCTTCCTTGAAAATATTTGGGAGTTTTTTCTTATTGAATTTTGAGAGTTCTATAAATGTTACACTTTAACCTGGCTGCTTTAGTATAATGCTAAAAGTGCAGCCTATAACGATAGTATATGTTTCTTCAGTAGTAATTTTATTCTATGTATCTCTACACTAAATAATAGATAGTCAGGCTCACTGTATTCAGTAATATAAACTGCTTTTTGTACAGTAGTGTGGATTTACTGTACTGTTCCAAATATGTATAATATGTAAAAGAGTAGATAGTGAAAAATTTTCTACTCTAGTTGTATGCAGAAAACTGTGTCTACAGATTTGAAAAGTTGTATTAAATCATTCGTGTTTGGGAAGAAAAACTGACTTTTAATTATTGCTTCAAATATGGTAAATTTTTTTACTTCAACAATTCCAATAACTGATTAACTTAGAGTTGTAAATTTTATAATTTTTCAAATTTTATTTTTTTTTTGAGTTATTAAAGATTGTTTGAAAATTTATCTGTAATTGTTATTTAGACATTCTATTGCTTCTATTTTTCTATATAAGTAACAGAAAGAATACCAGTTGGTCTTGAAAATTTCGAAGAAAAATTAATGCCAAAAAAGTTGCTGTGACATGTAAATTTTATCATAATTTGCACGTGTTGTTTAAACATTTTGTTTAAAAAATATAGCTTTATATAGTCTATACACATTACTTCATAAAGTTTATTTTGAAGAACTTCTATTACACAGTAGGTCAAATTTATTTATATTCTGTGATATATTATTATTTCTGTCCATCTTGACTCTTTTAGTTTTGTAATTGTTAAGGAAAATTTATGCACTTATAAAATGCACATTAATTTATGATTGCTACAAGATTTGAACTCCTGCCAGGTAATATGTGCAATCTATACAACTGGCATTTTTAGAATTGTAAATATAAAGCTTACTGTTATTAATTCGACTTGTAAATCATATTACTGTTATTTTTAAACGGAAACTTAGAAAATATGTACAGTTAGCTCGTAGTCGAGTGAGTCTACGTCTAGGAGGAAGAATAAAAAAAAAACTTAATCCCTACACCCTTATCAATAACATTGTTATATCATTAATAAATCATATTTTATCAAAAAATATAGCTATGGTTAGTATGTAGAGTATACATTAGATTTCTGTATTGGTGATATATTTATGGAAATTTTTCTTATGAGCAAAACAATGTTTAATATATCTATTTGTCGGTGTATTTTAGAGCGTGAACGATCGTTTGTGTTTATGTATATTAACTCTTTATCACACTTAATTTAAAAATAAAAATTAGATTGTGTAATATATACGAACAGCGTCAAGTAAAAAGCATTTTCTGTTACGTACCTGTTTAAATTTTGATAATTAACAGATTTCGGGCACAGTGATTAATTTTTGATCTACTGTGTAACAGATTTTCCAAATTGAGAATAATTATTGTTTTTCTGTGTGAAAGTTTTGAAAATTGTCAGATTGGTGAATGAATATCATACTTTAAATAACAATAAAAGAAGCAAACAAAATGTAGAAATGATTTTGTTATTGGTAAACAATTGTTTCTTCTATTGCTTATAAACAGGAAATAAAATACTGAATTTAGAATTATCTTAAATGAAAATCATTTATAATTAAAAACGAGATTTTTTTTAAATGTTAATCTATTAAGAAATTTTAATGATTTCTAATGTAGAACGGATTTCGTAAATATTTTTCTTTCTTATCGTAGCCGTCGTAGAACTTTTTGATCCTCCTTCCCGGTATTTGTAATTTCTTTCATGTTAATCGAACTTGTGTATAATATCCATAACGAAAAACCATCAAAAAGTGTCAGAATGAATGTGATCAGAACAGAAGTATTTCCTAGAAATAAAATTGTCTAACTACGTATTGTTTATTATTCATTGGTTGTAAACGAGGATAAAATATTATTCTGATACAATTCAGTATTAATCTACTATAAATTGTTTTTAAAAATAGTATTCGGACGACGTACGCTATAAAAACGTTAGTTCATTAAGGAACGTTGTTTTCTTATAGATTTCTAAAAAGACTTATCTTCTCACAAAGTAAAAACATCGAAAGGAGGCAGTAATTAAATTACAGATGGTCTAAATTATTTTCCTATTTATAGATTTATAAACTCGGATAGTAAAAGTAGTCAGACCAGGTTCGAATTCCTTTATCTACGGATTAATAATACACACTAGAAAGACAATGATCTATTTTTTTTATTTAAGCTATTCTGTGTGGACAATTAAAACAGATAATAACTGGTCGCGCTTTAACGACGTCATTTATTAATCAGTCGATTAATTTTCCGAGAGGTATTAAGTGTGTAAATCGAAGTGTCAGAAAGTTTGTAGTTGGGAAATAGGTAAAGGAGCGCGGAAAGTTTCGTCTTTTCTCATCATTGGTCGTTTGGTGGAGCGGCAAACTGCAAAATGGGACAGGCACACGTAAGACGAGCAGTTGGTGCAGAAGCCATGGGTTTCGTACGAAGATTAACCGCTACAGCGTTATTTTTCGCGTGTTTTAAATTCGCTTACAGCTTTCCCGACGGTGCACCGGCCGAAGCTTGCGATTCTCTCCTACCCAGACACGCCGGAACATCTCCCAGTCCCGTGGCAGAGTCTCCTTACGTCTTCGTAGCTTCCGACGACAAATATTCCTACAAAAATCCGCAACCCATCAAAGGTAAGTCGTTTACGCATTCTCCCAAATATCAATAATTTACCCATTTATCGTAAATTAAACGTTATCCTCCGAGTGTAATTACTATATCGATTATCCGGTCAAAGGCCGGTAAAAAGCACGGCCCGGTCGGAAAACGTATTTGGATGTTTCGCATATTTAAAGTAGATAATGAATCTCCATAACGCGTTCTCATTTTTATAGCGGTTCCTCTTATCATTAACGCGTTAAAGAATGTCAAACATGCCCCAAATACAACCATTTTTCAATGTAAAATTTGTATTACGGTTACGTTAATTGCCATAAACGTTCCAGTTAAAATGCAAGAATACTCTGGATAAAAGTTTAATATAAGAGCGTGGTCTAGTAATTGTAATTTAAAAAAAAAATTATATTAATAATTACATCCCGGGGCGTAGAACTGTCTGTTTAAAAGAATAAAAATGGAACTAGGCCCGGTTTTAGGCTGCGATTGATATTCAAACAATAGGGAAGTGCCGTAATCCTATCTTCCCAGCATAGAAAACGAAAGGCCTCCGATAACCGGGTCAATTTAAATTCATTAAAGTGTGTCGTGTATCGAAACGAAAAGTGGTAGCATTTCACTTTTTCGGTTGTAAAGGTTTTCTCGGTTTTTTTCCGCGGATAGAAGCGCTAATTTTTTAAAACTGGAATTGGCTTAATGGATTCGGAAGTGGAACAGTCGGGGAGGAGATGTTCTGCGCCGTGAGACGTCAACAATAAGGAATTATCCAGATTCATTGTTACTCGGTAAAATTGTTTTACGGCTTAAACGTCGTTTAATTTAAAACGAAAATAAAGACCGGTGGGAATTTCGCCTTTTCCCCGAAAAGCCACCGGCGTGGAGAACAATAATTAAATTATATTGTCCGGTGTTTCTTTTTATTCAGTCGAGATCTACGGAGCTCCTTTCAAGGGATTTTTAGTGGCCGCCATCGATCCCCACACGGGAGAACGCATAGGAAATTGGATCAAAGGAAAGGGAACGGGAATTCTACCGTGCGCCGCGATAACCCATTCGGACGGAAGGGATAAAAAACACGTTATATTAATTTGGACTCCTCCTAAAGACAAAGCGGAAGGAAACGTCGTCTTCGTGTAAGTATTTTTACTTTTAGTAGGAAATTTTACGCCGGTCAATCGTCTCGGCTTTATTTGCGTGCCGCGTATATTAATTAATTAAAATGCAATGGTCGTTTTTCGCAGGGCCACCATTCTTCGATCCAAGTCGCTGTACTACACTGGACAAGTAGCCGGCCTGGTGGGCAATGCGGCTTACCGATATTATTATTAATTCCTCTGTCCGCAACGAAATTAATTATTCGTCCTTTTATTTATCCATGCGTTTAATAAATTGAAAACGAGACGAAGCGATAATTAGTCTTGGATTTGTAGCGCTGCCACCGCCCATCGTCCTAGCTTAATTATTCGGCCGCGCACCGGTTAAACCGCCTACCGAATCGTCGTAATATTTGTCGCGAAATTCTCTTAAATATTTCCGCTTCCGTATCGGAGGGGAAGAACCGGATATTTCCATCGACCGCCACGTGGCTAACGGTTATCCTGCCGCCGTCCGGATGACAGCTAATTAAAATAATAAATTTAGTTTAACTTTTATTCATTTTTAATATAAATTCCCGCATTTTTCACGGTTAAAAATTAAGATATTAATTTAAATATATTTAGTGCGGAATCGGCCGGTCCGAGTTGGAAGGAGTCGACGATATAGGAAATTGTAACGAATTTAATTTTTATTAATTGATTTTTTCACAATTTATTTTGTTGGAACTTCTATCGGTACAAAATGGAAAAGTCCGTAATAAAAACGATAAATGGGAGGCGAGAAGGGACGGGGAGGGTGAAAATACGGTTTAAAGCTGCGGAAGTGTTTCTTACCGTGTTAAACGCACTTTTTAACGCCGGGGCTAATACAAAAACGACATTCGACATTTCCGTTTTTCGGCGGAAGAAACGCGCCGAGGATGGAGACTAATTAATTAATAAAAAGAAGTTTTACGTCTGGTTAAAAGTGGCGGATTTTTAAATTGTCTGCCGAGAAGAGCCGCGTACGTACCCTGGCTTGGCCACCCGGTTGTTTCCGGAAAGAATCCGACAGGAGTGCATTGTGTTTTCCTCCGTCGAACCGAAAGAAGGTCAACGAGAAGAAATTCGGTCGTTAACAGCACGTAAGAATGTGTCGACGTCCATTTTCCCACTCTTCCACACCGCCCACGCCCGGCGAGAAAGCGTTTGCGGAAAGAGAAAAATGTCTATTTTCTTTCTATGTCAAAATTTTATTATTTTCCGATAAAAGTTTTTTACTTCGCTTAAAAATTCCGCGGTTTAAACGTATCTTAGATATTTTCCCGCGTAATATCCAAAGAGAAAACAAAAACTAGTCGATTGGGAAATACTCGGTAAATTTAGAAAAGTAAATAACATATTTTTCCATTTTCGACCACCGGGAGTAATGGGCGGAAAAATCCTCCCGTATATTTTAATACCCGTCTTAATGTCTAGGCATATCGGGCTTTAGCCCTGTGGACTACGGGCTAACAATGTCGATATCCGTTACAAAGACTTTTACCGAATATATTACGCAAAGTCCGTAGCCAAGAAATGCTAGACGTTAAGACAGGAATTAAAACTTACGTTTTCGCTTGATTGTTGTCGGAAATGGAAAAACACGTTATTTACTTTCTAAATTACCGAGTATTTCCCAATCGATCGATATTATTACCCGATCCGTAATTACCAGATTAAGAAAAGCTGTCTGCGGTATATTATTTTACCATCGACTATAATTATTAATATAAAAATTATTGGCCTACTATTTGCATCCTTCCGTAGGACAAAAATCCGATTTTAGGCACGCCACGACGCGTAAATACGCATCGACGATTTACTTTTCCTTTATAAATAAGTTACTTGGAAGGTGGGCCGCTACCGGGCCCGCGATTTACTTCCCGCAGGTCTTAAAAAACGGGTATCCGACGTCTTTTCGTCTGCGTTTTCTACTGGGGTGAATTTGAATAATTGGCAGGGTTTAGAAGCTGATAAATTCCGGCGGACAAGAGAGTTCGTAGGTAAGTTATGTGGACTTTGTCATTCCGAAGGTCGGTCGACACTTAATTAACACGCCGGCAAAAGTTATCGTTAATGGAAATTTTCGAAAACGTTCGGAAACGGTTTCGTTAACGTAACAGAAATACGGTAGAATCCCGATTAACGGGCACGTCCTTAGTCGGCCCGCTACTATTCTCGTAGCGAAATCACAAAAGAAACTTCCGGCCTTTTTTATATTTTGCCGTTTTTAATCCGAAACGGCCGCGGCCCACCGCCCGACTGGGGTAATCGAATCTTAAACCGTTCAGACGCTGGTAGCACCGTATTATCGGAAATTCGGTTAGGACGAAAGCGTGACTTACACACGACACTTAACATATATCGTTACTATCTGAAACAATGAACAAAGAAGTTGGAATGGAGAACAATTACAGACATTCGAGAATCTTAGACGATCGTAGACCCAAATCTTAGTTATAAAATTCTGTTTGGCCCGGGACCCACCAGTGGCCGAGCGGTTCCGTTCCCCCAACACTGGGAGTTCAGCGGCCAGATGGCCGAGGGGTCAAGGTGGCAGCCTACTGCTCTGGGGACCCGGGTTCGAATCCGAACGGGTCGAAAAATCCCCAGAAATTTTTCGGGGGTGGTCCGTTCGGATATGTCGTGCCCTGTCCCTCACCACCCGGCAGCCCCATTGTGGGTCTGGCCGAACCCATAATGGGCTTGCAAAAAGAGGCCCTCTTAGTGCCCACAGGGCGGAAAGAGTTAAAAAAAAAACACTGGGAGTTCGGTGGTGGATTGGTGCCTGGCCGGGACAAGCTGGCCACGTGAAGTTTCCAGGTTTTCTCCACGTTCGTAACGCCCGAACAGCAGCCAGTTACTTTTAAAAATACCTCTCGGACAGCATCTCCGAGGCAGATCGCCCAAGTGTTGCGTTGCCATAACTTAACTAAACACTTTTCGGCCCGAATATCGGCAAAGGGCAGGGAAATTAACTCCTGGGGATTTACCGTTGCCAAATGACATCGTACGTAACCTAGGCCCGCGGGCGCCAACGCGGGCAAACGGCCGAAAATCGTTTAATTCAAATTATAAAAGTGGCCGAATGGCCATGAGGCACGACTGGTTTTAACCGTTCTTCCATCTTAATTAAATTAATGTGATTTAACGAAATTTCCGGTGAACACATGCGCACGAATATACGTACGTAGAAATCATAATTTTATTTTAAAGGCCCGGTGGCATTTTACCAAAGATCGGCGTTAGAAGGGCCAAGGTATCGGCCACGTTTTTGCTCCCGGTGTGGGAACGGGGCAGTGACACTTAGCGGCAAGGTCTGTATAAGAAGGTCAGGACACGCTCCCATGATTCTATGCGGCAGCGGCCATTTTGGGACTCATCGATAGAACTCATCATACGTGGTTCTTGCATGAGTCAACTATTATTACTTATATACGTACTCAAAACGTTAAGCAATGGATTATTGTGTTGCAACTAATTGTAAAAGTAAGTCTACCGACGTTCGATTGTTCAGATTTCCTGCAGATAAGCGGAGGAAAGCAAAATGTAGCGTAGGCATCAACTGATGGTTCATGATGCAGTTCAAAGAGTTTATATGTTTAAAGTTTGTAACAAGTGGTCTAAACGAGTAGATACTCTTCGTGTCCATGAACGAACTATACATGGAAATTTATAAACGATATTGGCAATCCAGATATAAAACAAATGTAATTTTTTCATTTTTCTATCTGGTGATAAAATAATTAAGCATGTAATTGTTTTAATATGACCATATTGTATTTAAAAATAAAATTATGATGATGGTATTGACTTATACTCTCAATATTTATTAATAAAACATTGCAAAAAATTTAGTTTAATAGTAATTTATACTTAATTCAATTTAAATAAAATTTACATTAATTTTATTGTCAGAATTTTTATTTTAAAAGACGTGATGGAAATCTAAATGTATCTAATTCTTATAATCTAGAGATTCCATAATATTTAATTGATTTTATTTATATTTAATTTTTTCGTTCGCGTTTCAATAATTATTTTCCACTGATCATTCAAATCTTTTATCCTGAACATTTAAAAACAGATTTTATTTAATTAAAGTAAAATTGACTATTTAATTGTAAAAAAGAAAATTTTAGCATTATTTTGCTATGGCAACAAATATTCATATTTTGTTTGAATATATTGTATTCTATTCAAGTATTATTTGTCAGTTTATTGTCAAATAATTTAATTTAAAATTTTATATTTGGAATTTTTTGAAAGCTATTTATAAATTAAAAATATATCTACACATCTATTACTTATTATAAAATGAGTATTACATTGACAACATTTATTAATAATACTATTGAATTTTATCTTAATTTTATAGCCAATCGTGCTTTTAAAAAATAATTATAAATTTGTTATATTATTATATTCTTTATTATACTTTAAATTTTTTTTGATGTTATTGCATCACTTTACGAAGTGTCTATATACGTAATTGCATCAGTTTTACTACCTATTTAATTAGTTTCAATCGCGACAGAAAATGATATAGATGATTGTTTCTTTTAAACTATCTGATCGAAAAGTTACATAAAATTGGGGTTGCGTAATTATCCGAAATTATTATTATATTTTCGACTGAAAATCACTGGATTTATGCAATTTTTGTTTAATTAATATCGTATAAAACAGACTGCTCGTACAAGTTTGCTTAAAACACGCGACTCAAAATACCCCAAAATGGCGGCTCAATAAGTAGGTCACGCGTGTCCTGACCTTATACACACCTTGGTTGAACTAGTAGCTCGGGACGCCCCCTAGTGGGCGTTCTTTACAAATTTCCATGAGGCACGGTTCCTTCGACTTTTTTGTTCCTATCAATATGCTCTATAGCTCTGTTAAAATCCGAATGGTAAGATTTACCCTCCGAATGAAGAGGTGACGACCTCCCCCAAATCGTAGACCCCTATACTAACAATAAAGTCAAAGAAACCATATCCCTACTCGCGACCCTTCGAGAGATATAAGCCCCTGAAGTAATAAATTCCTGAATTATTTATATTGTTATATTGACCAAATAATAATTTATTGGCCAAACGAATAATAAAAATTCATATTGTTAATTTAAATAAGAATTAAAATTGTTAATTTGAATGTTTGAAATATGACACACGATAGGGGCGCCTCTAGTGTCCGTTAACAAACGGTTACGGGACAGACAGGCGGATATCCGTTGAATGGATTATATATATAGATGAGGCTACAAAAAGTTCACTAATATTTTACTGACGATGATAATTTGTTGATGGATTTAAACTGCCAATTCAAAAGACTTTACTCAAATTACACAAGATACACTTAACATTTAGGGNTTTCCTGCAGATAAGCGGAGGAAAGCAAAATGTAGCGTAGGCATCAACTGATGGTTCATGATGCAGTTCAAAGAGTTTATATGTTTAAAGTTTGTAACAAGTGGTCTAAACGAGTAGATACTCTTCGTGTCCATGAACGAACTAAACATGGAAATTTATAAACGATAATGGCAATCCAGATATAAAACAAATGTAATTTTTTCATTTTTCTATCTGGTGATAAAATAATTAAGCATGTAATTGTTTTAATATGACCATATTGTATTTAAAAATAAAATTATGATGATGGTATTGACTTATACTCTCAATATTTATTAATAAAACATTGCAAAAAATTTAGTTTAATAGTAATTTATACTTAATTCAATTTAAATAAAATTTACATTAATTTTATTGTCAGAATTTTTATTTTAAAAGACGTGATGGAAATCTAAATGTATCTAATTCTTATAATCTAGAGATTCCATAATATTTAATTGATTTTATTTATATTTAATTTTTTCGTTCGCGTTTCAATAATTATTTTCCACTGATCATTCAAATCTTTTATCCTGAACATTTAAAAACAGATTTTATTTAATTAAAGTAAAATTGACTATTTAATTGTAAAAAAGAAAATTTTAGCATTATTTTGCTATGGCAACAAATATTCATATTTTGTTTGAATATATTGTATTCTATTCAAGTATTATTTGTCAGTTTATTGTCAAATAATTTAATTTAAAATTTTATTTTTGGAATTTTTTGAAAGCTATTTATAAATTAAAAATATATCTACACATCTATTACTTATTATAAAATGAGTATTACATTGACAACATTTATTAATAATAGACTACTATTGAATTTTATCTTAATTTTATAGCCAATCGTGCTTTTAAAAAATAATTATAAATTTGTTATATTATTATATTCTTTACTATACTTTAAATTTTTTTTGATGTTATTGCATCACTTTACGAAGTGTCTATATACGTAATTGCATCAGTTTTACTACCTATTTAATTAGTTTCAATCGCGACAGAAAATGATATAGATGATTGTTTCTTTTAAACTATCTGATCGAAAAGTTACATAAAATTGGGGTTGCGTAATTATCCGAAATTATTATTATATTTTCGACTGAAAATCACTGGATTTATGCAATTTTTGTTTAATTAATATCGTATAAAACAGACTGCTCGTACAAGTTTGCTTAAAACACGCGACTCAAAATACCCCAAAATGGCGGCTCAATAAGTAGGTCACGCGTGTCCTGACCTTATACACACCTTGGTTGAACTAGTAGCTCGGGACGCCCCCTAGTGGGCGTTCTTTACAAATTTCCATGAGGCACGGTTCCTTCGACTTTTTTGTTCCTATCAATATGCTCTATAGCTCTGTTAAAATCCGAATGGTAAGATTTACCCTCCGAATGAAGAGGTGACGACCTCCCCCAAATCGTAGACCCCTATACTAACAATAAAGTCAAAGAAACCATATCCCTACTCGCGACCCTTCGAGAGATATAAGCCCCTGAAGTAATAAATTCCTGAATTATTTATATTGTTATATTGACCAAATAATAATTTATTGGCCAAACGAATAATAAAAATTCATATTGTTAATTTAAATAAGAATTAAAATTGTTAATTTGAATGTTTGAAATATGACACACGATAGGGGCGCCTCTAGTGTCCGTTAACAAACGGTTACGGGACAGACAGGCGGATATCCGTTGAATGGATTATATATATAGATGAGGCTACAAAAAGTTCACTAATATTTTACTGACGATGATAATTTGTTGATGGATTTAAACTGCCAATTCAAAAGACTTTACTCAAATTACACAAGATACACTTAACATTTAATATTCGTCAGGGTTAGGTTTTTTAAAAATCTCGTGAAAACCAAATAAGGATGCCTATGGAAAAAATTGAGTTTGGTTTTGTGGAACATTTCAAAGATAAACGTTAATTGTAAAATAAAATATTGGAAATTTTCTAATATAAGACGTTTAAATTATTTCTAAAATGCAATGAATAATTTTACATATTTTTTTTTTCTTTGTATAATTTAATAAGAGATTGAAAATGTAGTGGAAAAATTTTGAGATTAAAAGAATTTAAGAACGAAAGTCTACATAGTCTGTATAATAACTTTTATAATATACTGTACAATTTTAAATAATTTGATAAAAATAATGAACAATAATCATCCTTTAATTAATTAAAGCTATAATATAAACAATGAACATTAGACAAAAGAAATTTGACGTTCAACAAACGAACGAACGAAGTAGCAAATTTTGTGTTCGAAATAAATTAATTCTGACTGTGGTGTAAATACACTACAGTCAGAATTATGCTTGTCCAGCTTCTTGACGTCACAAAGTAGCAACATCTCCTGGTAGAAAACAGAACTACGGTTACGGAATCGTTCTGTAATTAGACGCCAGTCTTTTATTGGCGTTTGGGCTATTCTTTGTTAATTGCATATTCGTTTCCATTGTCGAAAACACAATACAGGTATTAAAACGCTATTGTCGAGTAAAACTTATTGTTTACGTCATTTAACAAAGAATTTAACAAGAAGACCGAGAAATTGTAACTGCGTTGAGAAAAGGATTTATTTTTACGGACGTTTCCGACTTAACAGGAAGGAATTTGTGGAAAATTGAAAATTTTACAGTTGGGGGCAGGCTAAGTCAATATGGAGACGGAGAGATTTACCTTGAACCGGTTGATGGAAGCAGCGCTGAACCCGCCCGATGAGGGCGCGGTCAATTTCAAAATGTTGCGGATGGTGCTGAAAGTTATAATCGAGGAACTGGACCTGGGGGTAAGGCGCCGTTTCTCTTCTGTCCTTAATTTTACTTTGCTTAAGGCGATTATCCTTAATTTTACTTTGCTTCAAGGAGGTGGAGGCCGAGGTTCCGGCCGAAGACGTCGGAAGGAAAACCCGGAAGAGAAGGAAGCGGAAATACCACCGACTGGAGACTTCCAGAAAACCTACAGAAGGGGAGAAGAAGGAGGCGGAAAATTGCCAACGGGAAGAAGAGAAAAGGGGAGAAAGGTCTGAAGCTGAAACCACCGAGGAAAGCCGCCGTTCTCGGTCTTCTTTCTCGGACCGGGAGGAAGAGGACGAGTGGGAGAGAGAGCTGGAAGAGCACCCGAGCCCGGCCGGGGGAAACGAAGCCAGTCCATCCCCCGAAGGGTCGGAGAGCTCCAGCACCGGGAAAGAAGAAAGTTCGGACGGGGACGAAGAGTGGGGAACGGACTACTCCTCTGTCAGAAGCCGCCACCGCCGGCAGCGAGAAAAGGAATCTTCGATTTCCGCCGGTTCCGAATCCGGTTGTACGGGAATCAAACGGAGAGCGATGGAAATGTGGAAAACCGCCTACTTTTCTCGGCGCCTAGAGGCCGTCCAGGAAGGTTTGCATAAGGTGAGACCTTCCGAAAATTTAGGCCCGGGTTAAAAATGTGGCGTATAAGATGCGGGAAACTAATCACCCGACGGCGGGTGGCGTGTTTCTAATACGAGTGTACTTTCGACAGGTGATAAACGTCCTTGGTGTCCACGCCCGAACCGTCGATGCTCAAAGAAGAGACTTGGAAAAGGAAAAAATGGCGCGGGTCGGCCGCAATTTAATTCTTTTCCCTGCTGGTACACAGAAAATATTTAAAGTCACGACGTTTTTTACAGGATGGCGTTACTCGCGGCCTGAGCAAGATAGTCAGTCGCCTGTCGGAATCCGCGGTAAGTTTTCCCTCTTTAATAACGCTCCGTTTAACTGCTTGACCGTAAAGACTTTACGCGCTTAAAACCTTGAAAATTTAAACGGAAAATTAGGCTGTCGAGTTTCGTCTTTCGAAATTTCTATCGATAGAATGGCCGTAGCTATATCCTTCGGCTAAGGGATTCGGGTTGCGATCTCCCAGCACCCGGTTAATTTTTTACCTTATAAAATGGTATTAATAATACCGGTCTGGAATATCGGTCCGACGCGTGACGATTAATATACGATAATTTTAAAAATAAACCGGAACAGAACGAAACGGAAGCCAAATTGAAATTGGTGGTAACCGGAGAAGAATTAGTGGATTTTAAGAAAGAAGTGGACGGGAAGTTGGCCCGGCTGGATTTAGAAATTAAAGAACTGCACCGAGTTTCGGCCGGAGTGGAAGAAAGCGTACGTAAATAGAAACCCAGTTGTTATTTTTTTCTGCCGGGAAGTTTGTCTGACTCCGTTGTCTTCCTCTAGGTCAATCGATTGCTAACAGAGACCGAAACGTTAAAGGAAAAAACCGGCTTCTTAGAAGTAACCGTCTTTGCCGTTAAAATAATTGCGCATATTAACCATTTCCTTTAATTATGCTTTAAATTTTTCCGTCGACAGGATAACACCGGCCTCTACCGCCATAAAAGTCCAGGTAACCTCTCTTTCCTCTATTCCCGCTATCCGCTCTTTTATTTCTGACGCTTTCCGCTCTGCCCACCCACACGAATCGTACCCGCCTCGGGTTCGGTCGGCCGGGTGGGCTGGGAAGGGGCCCGACCGCCGTTAAAAAATCAGGCCCGGGAGGCCCACTGGCCCTTCTATCGGCTTGTAAGTTCGGCCGACCGGTTACATTTTACAAACGACTTTCATTTCAGAGGAGGTGGACTTTCCTGCCTTAAGAGAAATGGTAAGAATCTATTGTTTGGACGAAGCAACTTTGACCCAACGCTAAAAACAAAATATCCATCGTTTCAGTTTCGGAACTTCGTGGACGAAATGCGACCCATCAAAGAGAAGTTTCAAAGAGAATTCGAAACGGAATCCGAGCAAGACACCAGTATGTCGGAACAGGTGACCAATCTGAGAATAAACGTCAGAAATCTCATCGAAAACGACAAAATCGTAACGGAAAAATTTCAAAGATTGGAAGAGGACGGTGCTAAACAAAAGGAAATCCTCGATATATTGGTCGAAGCTAACGAAAAAGGATTCGCTCCCCAGGTGCGGAGATGGGAATGCTCCGGTAAAAGATTCGTTTCTGTTCGACTTTAATTTTGCCTCCGTTTTGTAGGATAAAGAGGATTTCTACGACATGCAGAAAAGACTTAGACAGTTAGAGATCGACTGTCGACAGCTCGGCGCATTAAACGTTAGTCGACCCGCCTACCACCGGCTTATAAGTACGTAGCTCTAACTGGAGAATTTCTTGCATTTCTAGGACTTGGACCTGGCCATCGCCACCTTAAAAGCCATTAAAGTGAATAAATCCGAAGTGGAAGCCGCACTATCGCGAGTAATTTCCATTCCCGGCAAAATTTTTATACGAAATTACGATTTTTATTAATTTTTTACGTTATTTAATTATAGAAAGCGGAGAATAAAGTGGTAGAAGTTAAGGTGGACAGGACGGAATACGAGAAAGTGACGGGAGAACATTGCTTTAAATTGAAACAGCTGGAGAAGGACGTCGACTACATTGTGAGATGCGAAATATTCGTTTACTAATGTTTGGAACGGAAGTTTAATATTTCAATTGTATTTAGAGAGAAAATCTGGATGTGGAGGTGAGAAGGATATCGGACGAACTCGATAATAAAGTTCATCGAATCGATATCGAAACTTTAACAGAAAGCGTTCACAGAAGATTGAAGGATCTTACTTTCAAACTCAAACGACTTGGATACGCCGTGCAAATTGAAACACAGATGCCCGCTGCAACCCGGTACGATTCGTTATTTCCGGCAAATTTTCGTTGGTCAAAAAATAATCCACCTTTGTATATTAACCGAATTGCTAACACGTAACAAATGACAGAGTACTGTATACTGTAAACTATTGGCCTCCTGCCACTTCGGGGCTCGACACGGAATCCGGGTCGACCGTTCCGACAAATTTTGGTGGGTGGTAGGGTCCGGTTCCTGGCGCCCGGCCACTCCAGTTACGGATCCGGCCTACGTGGCCCAGGACACGGCTTTTTTAAATTCCTTTTCTCCCGCTGGCGCTGAAGGGCATTTTCTAGCGTTACGGAGCGGCGGGGGTGGGGACGGAACTCCACGTACAGGCTGCGGGACACACCGCTTGTCGAAAAGTTTGGAAGTGCCGGCCCGGATCCCGTCCCCCATTTCCCGGGGCGGTCTCGATGGACATATTGGCACAAGATTATAGAAGGCGGGAATTACCTTATGCATCAAAATATATTTCTTTATACGCATCTCTGGTTCTCTTCTCGGTCGGGCGTGTGGCCATACCAATAGGATTTACCCGATTTATTCTTATTATACGTTTCTTTTTCTTTATCGCAAGATCCGTTAGGCTTGTAATAAACGATATAAACGTTTCGTCGTCGACGGCAATGTGAACCAATAAAGGAACCTGCGAAAATATTCGTCGTTTTTCCTTCCCGTAACGTGGATAAACGTTGGTACTTTACGCCGTTTCCTGCTTTTATTTGTCCTATTCGATAAAATCTTCGGATTGCAAAATAAAATTCTTAAATAATAATTAAAAACTTGTCAGAAACTGAGATATTCGGAAAATTTGCCTAGCATTTTGGGGTAAATATCCGTATTAAGGCCAGGAATTGCCTACGTTAACGTTAGTACGAAGATAACCGACGTATAATTTCCGTGGTTGCACCGGGTTTAAGTTACGTACCGTACGACGAGACGTTTCTTAATTCGGCGGTCCGGGTTAATTTACTTTGAATCATTTTGTCTTTCTCCGCGTAACCGAAATTAACACCAGGCAGTTAAGACTGCGACATTAACGAAATTTTTCTTTTTACGCCAGCACCGAAGCTAAATGCCTGTCTTGTGGAGTGTGGACTAGAAGACTGCAAAATTCGTACGATTTTCCATGGGTATAGATCTATTTATAAGTAGTTATATTTGCGATTTATATGAAAATTCCTTATTTATAGAGTGGTGAAGAGTCTACCGCCAACCGTCTTTAGTAAATGCGGACAAATAGTCGACCCGAAACAAATCGTTTCAAAGAACATCGACGGGTGAGTACGGCGTTTTTTAAGTTTGGATTTTAAAACCAGAATTATGGTAAAATTTTCTCGTTAAACCAGAATTCTACCACCTTCGGCCTGCCGTCACGTAGGAAGACTCGTGGGAGGTCCTCTTGGCAGTAACGAAAATAATGGAAAATCGCCCGTCCGCGGGTGAGAACTAATTATTGCTATAGGTTTATTTTTGGCACTTTTCGCCTTACGGGCGCTGAGGGACCGCTTTTCCTGACCGGACGAGACGAACCGCCAAATCTTTCCGGTTCCAATCGGATCCCGCCAAATGTTTCCGGTTCCAATCGGATCCCGAGTTTCTCGGCGCGGCGGGCCGAGTCGTAATCGTCGGAATGCTATAGTTTGGGTCCGGGCACTTAAACAGCGAGCCAGAGGCTCCGGAGGGAATGCGGCGGGTGGAGAAAATCCCGGAAATTTTTGGGGACTGTCCGGAGCGAATAAGTCGGGTACCCGCCACGGGTTCGGTAAAAAGGGCCGCGGATGGTCGAATGGCGGAAAGTCCATAGAAATATCGAAGGTCGAAAACATGAATAGGTTTTACTATAGAAATGTCGGTCTCGTACTTTCATTTATAAATAGCCTATTTAAAAAGTAGCCAATGCCCGAAATAAAATTAAATTCAACGTTTATAAAACATAGGAGAATTACGCCAATGAAGATCGGCGTGGGAGATTACGCCTAGGCCTACCGCTTCACTCTAAACTATTTTAAATTATTCTGCAAAAAGATTTCTTGGTGTGTTTTTTCGAATAGAAAAGAACGAAAAATAAACAAAATTTGTAACTGATAATAAAATTTAAATTAAAGAAACGTCTAGTAATTTATTATTTTTCTGCGCCGTCTCCGTACCACCAATGGATCTGACTAGCGAAGATCGCATCCGTTTATGGCGGAACGGAAAGAGTTAAGGCTAAACGTGACCCCGGATTTTATTCGATTCCACTTCTTCAATTTGTGTTATTTTTAATTCGAAGCCGGATGTCATTTATCGCGTCTCTCGCATTGGTTATACGCTTCTAAAATTAAAACAAAAGTAAAGTGTATTAATTTAATCAATAATCTACGAGCGTATTACTATTCTTTTATACCTGGACGATATTTTTAAAATTTGGATTGCTTCCACTTCCGGTACCAAACCGGAATCAGCGCATCCTTAAACTTCGCAAATTCCTTTCGGAAACGTAAAAACGAACGGAAATTACATTTTCTTTTAAATTTATTTTAAAAATATTTAAATACAATCGTACCCGACTGTGGGTTTGTCTAAAAATAGATTCAACTGCTTCCCTGCAATTACCGAAAATGGACACGGCCGAATTAATAAATAACAATATAATTTTATTTCGGTGTAAAAGAAAAGAACAACTAAATTACATTTAATACAAAATCAATGGCGTTTATTGTAATCGGGACGTTAGGAACGGTACAAAATTAATTCGGACCGGAGCGGTCGAGCAACAATTTTACGGGCGTTTTTTTGTCTAAGTAATAAATAATACTTTGAAGAAAACGAAAATTTATCCGCGAATGTAATGAGCGGAGTATCCGCTTTTGCCCGAGAAATTTGATATTCGTATTAAAGTAAATAAGTGGTAGATACTTTATTAGGTGGCAAAAACGAATTTTTCTTTCGGAACAAATTCGGACGCTACCGTGTTAATTTTCGTAGTACACGTAGTTACGTAAGACGAGTATCCACTGTATCAACACATCTCTTTTGGCGCAGTTTGCCAAAATTACCGCTTCGATAATATCGGGCACTAGAGTTTCCATGGCACGGTTCGAACGGCTCTTACGCTCGAACTTCGTTTCCCGGCGATTATTAAATAAGAAGCCAGAAGCTATCATCTTATCAACCCCCGGATCCATTGAAATAGTTATTTAAATATGATAAGAAGATTATTGGAATTAAAAGATTATGTAGACTCGCCCTTATTTCATTACGAAAATCTTCATTGCCACCGACAACCGAAGAAATTGTAGTTTTACAAGAAAGTTTTAATTGTTTGGAACTCTTTGAACGAGCAAATAACAGCGTTTCGGGCGATACGTACTGTACGTTAAAATATGTTCAATCGTTTCAATTATTCGTGGAATTGACGTCAAGTAAAGACACTAGAAAATTCCGTTGCTACAGAAAGCGGTAAAAAGTTATTGCAATCATTAAAAGAGTAATCGAGAGATTAAATGGTTGTAGCATTTCAACAATTTTAGATTGTAGATCCTTAAGCAGAAACGTTGGGCTCAAAAGCCAAGAGTTTCGACTTAAAGAGAACTACAGTATATTCAATTTTCGAAAGCAATAACAAATGAACTTGTAAATACAATAAATTCAATTTAAATGGACGGTGAATCATCCGATCTTGAAAACGAACAAGAAAATAAAGAAATAACTCTAAATAATGCACATTCCCAAATACAAATAATTCAACAGCAGACGCAATTATTGTTTTTTGGCAATACAGTCGACCCCCCTATAACGTGGGTTCCTAAAACGTAGCGAAAAAATTGCGGCAGTATTCGTATAAAGGGACTCGTAAAAATTCGTATCCCGTCGTCGCCGACTCGTGTCGCGACAAGATTGGTCGAATCTGGACCAATAGTGGATGAGCAGCCGAACTACTTTCCGCCGTCCAGCGCCACGCTATGGAAAGTTTAGGTGGTAAATTGAGTTTGCTATCGTCTGTACAGTATTATATATAAATTGGGTACTGTACATATAATTATATATTAATTATATATAAATTAGGTACTGTATATATAATTATATATTAATTTAATTTATTGTAACTTTATTATAATTATATATATACTTTCCGCCGTCTAGCGTTACGCTACGGAGAGTTTAGGCGAGCTATCGTCTGTACAGTATGTAAATTAGGTACCTTAAGTCTAATACAGTACTGTAATTTTATACATTTCTTGTGAAAGAAACATTTCTTATTCAACGGCGATTAAAATTATTTATATTAATGATGTCTCCAAAGTTCACGAAGTTTTCGCAGAAAAATAACATCAGAAATCGCGGCCGCGGTTTGCTGCGCTGTTCCGCGACGAAAACAAGCTTGAGCAACGGCGATGTCGAATGGTGCACACTCGGTAAGTAATCCTACAATTTTTTATTTATAGCGAAGTTTATACGAATTATTTCCAAAAAAATATACATATTTTGGAAATGTTGAGTCAAATTAGTCTAGAATCGATTAATTTTATGGAAGAAAACCTTTCAAACAGCCTTAGTCCGTAAACTTCACACGTGTCGGGCTGTGATTGGCTCATGTATTTAAGGATTCCTACAACGTAAAATTCTTATAAAGTGGAACGTATCTAAGCGTTATAGGGGGGTCTACTGTATATCAAACGATGTATCAAGCCTCCAAATTCCCAGCTGTTTCAATTTAAGTCACCAAAATAGATATCCTTATTTCGATCATTCGAAAACAATTCATCACAAATACGCCTTATTTGTGGTACCTCTGTCGGAGACATTTCTGGTACTTCTCGACATTATCTCTGAAAAAAGAAGCCGATTAAAGCCGAGGAAACTACCGTATTTAACATATCTAAAAAATAGTTTTTTAATTGTATAGTTTGTTTGTTTATTAAATACATTCAACCCGATTGTTACCTATCTATCTTTATTTCATATCCAATTTACATTAATACGTTAGCAATCGATTGTAAATCGTATAACCAATAGTGTCGATAGATATCGATGGGTGTTGCTATCGATAATATCCGAACACTAGTATTAACGGCTAAAGCTATAAGTACGCTCTCTAACGTCAATACGCAGGTATATTTAGTGGACTTTGGAATTATCGAAACATTAGATTTTTGAGAGAAATGTGCAAAATAATTATATTCTAGTTTTCTTCTATACAAATAAAAAATTTTTTTTTCGTTGGCAACGTATACAATGTCCGAACGACCTCGAACCGACGTCCAAGAAATGAACAATGTATAACCACCAAAATGTAACCGTATCGATGCCCCATGTATAGAAATAACTCTTCCGAATATCGGATCGATCCAGTTCTAAGACGTCACAATTCAAAATACACCCGGCTCTTTGGAATCCCGAAATGTCGAAATTCGAGAAATACAAAAAGCAGGAAGGATGAGAGTTTGAGCGATTACTGTACTTTCCCTTTATTAAATTCTATAATAGCAAGAAAAACAAACTTATTCTGTACAAATCTTAATTAACGTAAAATCTCGCCATCGGATATCTCGGGATTACAATATCGGTTGTTATCAATAATTGTATACGTATGAAAATGCTTTTTATTACCAGAGTCGATAGATATACTGGTCTCTGAACTACCAATAGCTCTAATGCTACGGCAGTGGCGTAATAAATATTTCTGCCACTTTCATGCGCTGCAATCGCTTTGCGGCGCAAGTTTGACTCGAGCATATGGAAAGTCGGCTGTAAACATTCGAAATTCTTTTAATATATGAAATTTTCTCGTTTTTAACTCAGATATTGCTTTTGTCTTTTTAAAGAACCGCTTATAAATATTACAGTACTATAATTCGGTTTTGAACATTATTTATTCGTAAATGTTAATATTTGTATTTCTATTAATAACTGTCACTTTCAGGATTTTAGATTTTAAATTGATTAGACTGTTTTTTATTTACAATTTGTGTTTATTTTAAAATATTTTGGTGAGTTTTCGTTAAGGTGAGAAAGTTTGGTAGCTGGAATTTTTAATAGGAGGATGGAGTCAAGATATTCATTAATTTTAAGTATATGTAGAGTGGGAAGGAATGTTAAAAATCTCCCTCCTTTCCGGTTTTGCCGTAACAATGATATACGGGAATAACCAAGCTGATTTATAAAATTCTTAGTGTCGTAGGAAACTGGAGTAAATCAACATTCAGTTAAGATGTAAAGGTCGTAAAGGTCATTTATGATGGACGGTAACGTTAGACATCTGTTACAGGGGGAAAGTATAGCGAACGGTCAAAAATAATCTTCCAAGATTTTTACATTTTTGGTTCGAGTACGCTTTGATTCACCGAGGAATGCAAAAAAAAAAAACTCGGGATTTTTTTCCTGTATGCATGGATGTTACTATGTGTGGTGGGCACGATTTTGTTCACCCTCTTTGAAACTTAACGTCGGTAATGCAAAGAATACCAGACAAACAACACTGGATGTATTACTACTGTATTACAATTTATCGAAGATGATATGTAAAATTCGAAAATTTCAAACTAATATAAAAGTTTAGATATTTATTTGACAATTTGCTTAGTTTATGCAGAATAATTATTCGTAAATATTAATGACACGTATAATTAATTAATTTTTCTTAAACATAAAACGATTACTGTCTTATAAGTAGTTAGACTACTGTATATAAAAGATCAAAAACTTACAACTCCAATCCCATTTTCGGTTAAACGATTTCTTATAAGATCTCGTCTTTTTATAAAAATATTTTTGTTGTAAGCAACGCAACTGCTTTAAATTATGTATTTATTATTTAACATTGTACTCATCCCAATATCGTTTATGTACTGATGAGACTCCCTACTGAATGCCGAATCCCGCTGCTGATTGTTGAATCCCGTACAAGCACGCTGCTTGTACGGGATTCAACAATCAGCAGCGAGAAACAACAGAAAATAGTGACCAAGAACTTCGTGATTTCTTTACTTTTGGTTTGCAAAAGTAAAGAAATCACGAAGTTCTTGAAGAACCATCACAATGATGTTTTATGATGGGATTGCAAAACTAGGTTCTTTTAAGGATTCTTACAGAATACAGTACGAGAATACACGAGAGAATTTTGTTCTAATAAAATAAGCCGATCTGATTAAGATCAGTTAGATCAGCTCATTTTATCATAGTCGGTTACTAAAGTTATTACCCTCGATATAAACGAAAAGCGATAGTTTCGGTACGATAGGATATAGCAACACAACACTTGGCGATCTACAAAGGGGGATGTCTAAAAAATCGGGAAAATCGGCCCCTATTAAGGTATTAGACACGCGTAGAAAATCCGGAAAACTCTCCTCCATCTTTCCGTTAGTTGTGCTCGTTCGACGTTCGGTGTTTTTGTCCACTCGATCATCGGTGGGTCCTAGCCACAGTTTTACCATAACTGGGATTGTTAACCCATCTTTTTATGAAATTGATCAGCAACAGAATGAAAAAAATAAACAGCGTCCTCTGGTAATTTTTTCAATATCACAATATAATACACAAAGTAAAACTTTAAAGAATTCTATATTTTTCTATGAGCGAGAAAAGAATCGAGGTTTCAATTATCAAAAGCTTATTAACTTATCAGTTGTTACTTGGCGGTTCTAAAAGTGAATAGTAGAAACTGAGTTTCTTCCTCTTTATTTTCGATCAATAACGCATACAAAAATTTGTACTTTGGAAACACTATAATCCAAATGAAATGGAGAGACGACTCGCGGACAATGTTCAATTGAGAGGCTGTTTTTACGATATTTGCTTCAGCTTTTGGCTTAATTATTAAAGTAAGTTATCCGAAGAAAACTTACTGTAATAACTAAGCCAGGTTTTCCCATTCTTTATATTTTGCTCAATTCCCGATAATAGTCTGTCCGCACCTTTTGAACCACATTCGTAATGGCGATTTTCCTAAATTAAATATGATAACTATTTCTCCCCTCGTCATTTCGATTGGAAGTTCAAAATTTCGTTAAAAATGTCACCAAGTTATGTAGGAGTCGAATTCCCTTTATCAGGGAAGAATTGCTTTTTTCTATTTCTCAGCTTTACCTTTCGTCGTAGCTGTTATTATAGCTTAGGCTAAATATAGATGCAACATTAAATTGAAATTGCCATTCTGCAGTTTCAAATATACTGATGAAGTAGGTTTATCAATAAGATGGGTCCAAATCACAAATAAAAATGAAAAACCAAAATTAGAGCTACGAGAGTTTATATACGTTTTTAGAAGTCTATTCGTAACTGCGTTCGAAATATCAAAGTTTGGATATCTAATGCCACGGAAGGCTTGTGTATTCGAAGTTATACCGCACGTAAATGGCTAAGAGGCATGCCTATTAGATAAAATTGCAGAATAATCTTGGCCCCACCGATGGCAGAGTTAATAAAACCACAAAGAACTAGCAGTTACGGGTTCCCGTTTCGCCAAAAAGCTGCCACGTGGAGTTTTCCGGGTTTTTATCACGTGCCTGACATCTACCTAGGAGCCAGTTTTCCCATAGAAAGTTCACCTTGGAGGCATCCCTTGGCACATCGACCAATGTTGCGTTGCCATATTCCATCAACATAAAATACATAATTTTTTTTTCTTACATCGCTTAAAGAAGAAAAAACAATTATTATTTCTTATTTCTAGGATGATATGTGTGAAGATTTTGGATATGTCTACTTCCTATTTTATACGAAGACAAACATGAATTATGAAGTGAGGAAATAAACATCAAAATTCATAATGTGAGGAAGCGAATTTATTAATGTATTTCCTCACGTTATTATTTTACCTTAATTGGCTGCAATTTGAATAATTATAGACCTATACACTTCCACTGTCACCCATCTTCCGACATCTGTCTTTCCATAATCTCGAGAACGGAGTTAGATAGGTAGAAGACCAGACCAGATATGGAAACCTTAAAGTCAGGAAGTTCCGATTAACTTTATACCAACTTCCGATAAAAACCGTAAGTCACGTTATTTTAATTCAAACTTCCTCCCCCGAAAGCAGTTAATAGGTGACCGGCAAAATTCCATTGTTAAAGGAAAGTTCCCATAGAAAAGTTTTTGAATGTAAGGGAAAGTATGATGTAAGGGGGGAAGCCACTACTAATTAGTGGTGGAGAGAATATATTTTAAATGAAATAAATTAAAAATATGATTAAAAATTGCAGCCTGGTATTATGAAGATATCACAATAAATAATTGCTCGTTAACATTTAGAAATAAATTAATTTTTTGAAGACAAAGTCCTTCCCAAAAAGAGGAACCACCATTTATTAACTTTGTGTTCCAGACATTCCAGACAAAGTCTAAATTTAGAAATAAATAATTTTGGTCATTCTATTCTTCTCCATCGGTCAATCCAAACAGTGAAACGGCCAGCTGGCAAGGAAGAGTATCTGATTTAAACCACTTTTGAAAATTTTGAAGGTCCTATCAGAATTCGAATCCGGATACTTCAGAGCAGACTCGCGCCTTTTCTGCTTCAACCACCAGTTCATTAAGTTGTTTTTTACTTTTCCTTTATTGAAATTTAGCAAAAACTTCGATGTATATTTTGAAAAGTTTTTAGAGTTGTTTTCCCCTTGATAAAATCGATGCAGATGGCAACTGTTCTGTTGAACTTCATACATTTGTTTCGGATGTCGAACGGAAAGGTACACTTTGTATGGATGAAATAGAATTTATTTCTAAGTTTTTACAATTTCAGATTAGTAATTAACTATACATAAAAATTTTTAGTTTATATTTTTGAGACAATGAAAGTAATTAAAATACAAGAGAATTTGATGAATAAAGAGTAGTAAGCATTATTATTCTTTTATATTGCTTAATATAGAATAATTGAAAAGTGTCGTTTGTCCAGTTCCTTCTGAAACTAAATACAGTAATCCTCAAATTTAACGGAGCAAATGTTTCTGTCTTAAAGAAAAATTTATAAATTTTTTATTTGCCAATAGAGCACGCTAAAATGTTGGGTCGATGAGTATAAATTACTCAAGTACATTTATAATTATATTTTATTCCTATTGAATAAAATACATTGAAATAACATTTTGAGACATCTTGTACGTTGTAAGTTCGTTTTTAATAAATGTTTTGAAAATATTCGATTTAACCGGCTTCCGACAATAGCGGACATTTCTCCCCAATTAATAGTTCGTTAAATCGAGGATCTACTGTATTTTTTATATCCTGATTTTATAGTCCGGAGGATTTCATTGCATGTCTGCCGCCTTCTTTATACATTTCTAAAATTATTAAAAAATCATTAGTTTAAATATTTATAGAGATGCATTATACGCTATTCTAGACATACATGAACGATGTTTTTAAGGTTCGGATTTGCCTGAGCTTCGACGTCTATAGCAGGATCCATACACTTTTCAAGAGTTGCAAATTCCTTTAAGAAGAATTAACAGGAATTTAAAAAATATGCATTTATCGGTATGTCATTTCTCGTATCAGTACATTGCTGGTAGATTTACCTCGCTGTTGGTATCTCTGCACATGTATTCTGTCAACTCGTCTAAGGTATCGTAATACTTAACACGCATGGCGCAGTTGCGGTAAATATCGACAATCTGCAACGATATGCAATTTTACACGATTATCTTACATTCTTATGAAATATGAATGCTTCTCTCTTAATTATTCTTATAAAATTATGTAATATGAAATTTTGATGGAAGTATAATGCTATAATGCTACTTACTTTTAACCGGAAATAAACAGTAGTAAATTTTTTCCACTTAAAAGTTCTCCGCCAATAAATTTTTCTATATTTTTCTACTTATTCGGATAAATTGGCGTTTTTAAGAGCAAGAAGGTAAGATTGGAATTGAAGCCAACATTAATTCATTCAAGATCATAGAGAAACAGTATCAAGAAGCTATGCGGTTTGTTCGGGAAGATCGGCAAGAACGAAAAATAAAAACAATCAACCATGCCGTGTTACGTGCAAATTAAGCATAATTCAAGTAAAGAACTTAAGATATTGCAAAAGGAAATGAATAAAAAAGAAGCAGAAAAATAGAAGGAAGCAAAGAGAACTCCAGAATTCAGAAGAAAAACAAACGTGAGAAATTGTTGATCGTCCACTAAAATGCCACACTATTACCTCAAAATGGGTCTTTAAACGAAAAAGAGACAACGGCAGAAACATAATTGAGTATAAAGCACGTCTCGTAGAGAGAGGATACCAACAATTATTTGAATATAAATATTGAATATACAGAGGTGTTTTTACTTGTAACAATGAAAACTATACTTGCTTTGGCAACGTACCGAGGATGGAGCGCATATTATTCCAATGTTAAAGATGCATATCTGAATGGACATCTCGAAGAAAAATATTCTACCCAGGATAGAAAAATCAATAGTTTTGCCTGCTAAAAAAGCATTGTACAGACTCGAGCAGGAAGGACGGTAGTAGAATAAGAGAATGGACTTGTTCTTCAGATCAATTGGTCTAACCCAGGCGTATCCGTGCGTATACTTTGTCGCAAAGAGGCAACTGATAATACGTACACGCGTCGATGATATATTGTTAATATGTAAAGAAAATAACAAATGCGAATGATTTTTGACAAGATAAACGGAGACATTTGAGATTAAAGATCTCGGAGAGGCAAAAGTATCCTATCAGCAAAAGTCGAACGTAAGGAAACGATTGAGCTCTATCAGCAACGTCTGATTGACGAAATATTGGATGCTATTGGATGATGAATGCAAGACCTGCATCGGCACCGACGGAACCGGGAATTAAATTTAAATGTCATATAAAAGATGACGAAGGAAATGATGTGTCGTACAGACAATTGGTAAGTCAACGCTTTATCTAGCAAGCACAGCCAGACCCGATATAGCATTTGCTGTCACGCACTTTAGCCAATTGAACGACGGATACACAATGGAGCACTAAACGAGGGCTAAACGCGTTCTTATTTATCTTAAAAAGACGCTTGATTATAAGAAACGTTTTGAGGCTACACAGATGCAGATTGGAGAAGTGATCCGACCAATCGCAAATCCGCAATGGAGTACAGTACGTGTAGGCTATATTTTAGCAGCGAGGCAGTAAGCTGTAAAACAACAAAGTGCTGCTCTGTCGAGCACAGAAGCAGAGTTCGTCAGTAAGGAAGCTTTGTAATTGAAAAGTTTGATGGAGCAGCTGCAAGGGATGGACGACTCGTGACTAGGGCCTCCCAGTACACAATCGAAATTACATAAAATCATTTTCTACAGTCTATAATTAAAATTTCATTAAACGGATTACGACTCTATATGCTCAGGCTTAGGACTACAGAATTGGCTTTCTCTTTGCCCTGTATTTTTCAATAAAATTGGCAGACTATTTACATCTATGGAATTAGACATTTTAACCAATTCAAAGGCGAATTGCGCAGTAGGCCAAACGACAAGATGCTCCGGTAGGACAGATTTAAAAAGTTAAATATCTGTAGTCGAATCAGAGCATTCAGTAAGAGCTTTGATGTTGTGACTAATCAGAGCTTGATATAAAAGTGTAAAATGTAGGGAAACTGAGAACAGTAAAATAACTTTTTCCAAGAAATTTAATAAATAAAATAATACAATATTCAGAGATTTACGATATTCGTCAAACCAATAAAAGCGACATTAAAATAATAATAATAATACACGCGCAAGATTTCACAAAAAATGAAGAATGCTCCGAAACTGTTCCTAAAAATATTGCTTTTCGTTTAGATCAGTGGTTCTAGACCTTTCTGAAATCACTAAACACTTTGAATATAAGAAAAATTTGCATAAAAGCAAAGTCGCTAAGATTATAACAACAAAAATATGCACAAACGTGCCTTTAAATTACAGATTATTAAAATTATAGATTATAGAATGCATAATAGTAGAAAAAAATTAATAAAAAATTATATTTGTAAAAACTGTAACTAAAATAACTCTTTTATAAAATTGGAACGTCTTTAAATCAATTATAACGCTATTTACGAGCTTGTCAGCATTTGCAGATTTTATCAATATCGGGTCTAATATGTGATATGAATGCCCTCATTTCGTCGCCTATATTAGTAAGTCTTTCTAGTTTGAGTGTTTTTATATCGGCAAATTTTGAGACGAAAAGATTTGAGCTAATACAAATATTATGTAGAAAATTGTAACAAAATTTTTATTTCCTCGTGGAGAGAGTAGATCAATGAGAAGAATTGATAGTTATAGGCTATATAAAGCGAAAAAATTAAATGTACGCATACGGTGACTTTGGTTTACATTAAATAAGCAATTTTAAATATATTTGATATATGAAGTGATCTTAAGTAAAAAAAAGACTACTGTAATAATTTTTTTGGCGTGAATCTAATATCAGCTGTATGACTGAGGTGTAGGAATGCGTTGGAGAAGTCTAGTAAATGTATCAAAATTACATACATATATATTTCTTATAAATATATTAATAATTTTTGTGACGTTTATAACAGTTTTTCCTCAGAAATGTATTGCTAGATCAATGATTAAGAAAGATTTGGAAGAATTAGAAATATATGCCAACTATATAAAAAAAAACAAGAAAATACGCTGCCAATATTAGAAATATGTAAACAAAATTAAAGTATCCAAAAAAATTCAAAAAGTATGCGACAAAAATGTGTTAAAGAGCTTTTAAAATATTAATTTTCGTGTATAGAAATTAATAACGAGCATCGACCATTTTGTGTAATTTACAGATGAAATTTAGCGAATGGCAGTGTGAAATCCGCAAAGTTATAGAAACGTTACAGATTTGAAATTCTTGAAGACATCATCCAATGTGTATGGAAAACCTTTTACAGTGTTCGAAAGAAAACTTGTCAACTAGTAAAAAAGCAAAAATTGTTTAGTGAAATAAGAACGAGGCCAACTTTCTGAAACTTGAAGGTCAATTTAGCCAGCTTCGTAACACCACTCAACCAAATTAAACACCTTTTTTAAAATAGATTTTTTATTTGTTAATTTTATGTTCTTGTTTTTTAAAGAAAATGTTAAAAATAAAACAATTAAAAAAAGGATTTTAACAAATAAATAGTTTCACGTTGATTTAATGTTTTAGGTGGCCAATATAGGTGAATATTCAAATGGAATGGTGGAAAAAAGTCTTCTCAGACTTTTTCCACCATTCCATTGCATTTATGTTATTCCGTTTCTTATTTAATTTTTAATTTTGAATTTTGTATTCTATAGGTGGAATGCTTTAATTCAAATTTCGTTCTCAACCTGAAGATGGTCTGTAAATCAGGATAAAACCGTTTGTTTTGAAAATAAATATATTTCTCGGCAAAGATAAGGTGCTATTTATATGTTTATATGTCTGAGAAGACTTTTTCCACCATCCCATTTGAACATTAGTTGTTCTCACAACTCGTTTATATTATCTATCCTGTCAGTCATAATGGGAAACTGCATTAATATTGACTCGTGTACAAAATATATTCGAATTTATTTAGTCATATATAAATTTTCTTTTTTAATTTGTAGAGTGAAATTATATATACAGGGATAAATTATATAGAGATAAATTATATATACAGGGACAAAATTATATATTTTGTCCCTGTATATATTTACATAATAAATTTATGATAATTAAAAACGGTAAGTTTACAAAAAATTTAAAAAAATTAACTAGTGGCAATATATTTGGAAGACTTTGTTTCGAATTATAAACTACAATTAATTAATTTAAAATTGAAAATTTTAGCAAAGTACTTACAATTGTTGCTCTGTTCTCCATCAAGCAAGATCGCACTACATCGTGTCTTTTCACAGCTGAAAAATGCTTTATATAAGAAATTAACCGAATTTAACTATTATTATTTGTAATTTTACTCACCGCAATATTGTGCGTGTATACTTGGAGTAGGCTGAGCATCTAAAAGTGCGAAACAAGAGATAGCAATTCCGAATATCAAAACCTTCATGATATCGCTTCAAAGTATTTCCTTTCGAATTGTTCTCCTCGATGTCAATTAAGGTTAAACAGTTTATTAATAAAGAACTTTAAATACGTATATTGGCAAAGCTGATTTTTAATTGAAATATCGACCTTGATGGTCTAGACAGGTTTTTAGATTTATATTCGATAAGAGAATAAAAGAGAATATGAGCTATCTAAACCTTGCCAACCTCATTGCGTATTTTAAAAGCTAACTAATCTATTTTTGAGAAATTGCAATAAATCGTTAAAGCAATTAAGAGAACATTTGAAAGAGTTACTTTTGTGGAAAATATCGTATTTTCATTTTAATTGAATGAAAAATAAGGTGCTGTCTGTAACTTGATATTCAGGTCTCTCCTATTTGTCGTATTTGATATAATATAAATGTGAAAAGTTATATAATTATAATTAATGGAAACAATTAATAATTTATTATAGTTCATGTTATTATTTTATCTTAAGTTTACTTGAAATGTAAAAACTGTCAAGCAATGCAAAAATCCAGCAACGAGTTACATAACTTTTTCGGCAAAAACATCTAAGATTACGTCATTTGTTACGATATTTTATTTAAAAAAACTTTTTATAATTATTAAAAAATGACATACAGCCTAATTTCCAGGATAGATACAAGTTTTATAAAATTTGTTAGTGCTAATAACGAGTAAAAACTCTAGTAACTCCGATCCTACTCGAGATACGACGCATGACCCCCATTTATCTCTCCACCCCTCGACCTTTAACCAGCAAAATTTAATAGCAGCAATGCCCCTAATATTTCAAGTTCCGTACAAAATTTCAAAAATTTGCAAGTTATTGAGTCTCAAATTGGGTGAACAAAATCCCGGACCACACACAAACACACAAATATCTATACATACTGAAAAACTACCGATTGTTTTGCATTTCGCGACGTTTAGGGTTTCCCGAGTCCAAAAATGTAAAAATCTTGGGTAAAATCGAGGGGGGAGGTGATTTTTCGACCAACCGCCATACTTTCCGTCTGTTATATACAGTATAACAGCCGAAAAAAAAACAAAAGAAAAATTCTTCGATACTTTCTATGCTGATTCTTTGAATCGTTACTTTAATCAATTCTTACTTAATGGAGAAATTTATAAAGTAAATAAATTTACATTTATCATTTATTCAACCGCTAGAAATTCTAATCATTTCAAAGTTCGTTTATAAAATTAACAATATTTTGACGAATGACCTTTTTCTGCTAATTAAAATTATATCTTATGGACGTTTTCCAAATAGAATTAACTCCACGCCCTTTTAGAACACTTATCATTAGCAACGCTAAAAAATTCTATAGCAAATTTTAATATAACATTACGAGAAAAGCAAATTTATATTATTTTTACACATAAAATGCAGATTAAAAGAAATGCGTACATACATAACTTGTGTTAATACTATTTATATTTTTAAATACGATTTTATTTTTTAAATATTTTTAATGTTTATAATTTTTGATTATAAATGTTTTAAATTTCAGTAATTGGAAACCTTTAAATTTTTTCAAAATGTATATTTAATAATACAAAATGATATTTAATGATAAAGTTGTAGAGGAAACCACTTTTTTTTTTCAATTTAGTCACATGCTGGGCAATAAAATCTTTTTTCAGTATTTTTAATTTAGTTGTCGACCATTTCGTAATTTAGTCATAATTCAATGACACGAATGTAATTTTAGTAAAAATAATTTTGTCCTTGAAAGAATAAACACTTTAATGACATATTAAACTTCATGTTTTTCTAGAGAATAGTTTTTTAACTTGAAAGATTTGTCCCGAGAGCCAAATTGTCAGAAAAAAAAGTGGAATTTCGGTTTTCGTTAGAATAATGCTGAAATTTCGTACATTATTTAAATACGAGGAAAGAATCTTCGTATATGAATCTGCCATTGGAAATGGATTTGTTTTCGCTGGGTACTGTTGTACAACTCGATTCTCATTGGAACTAGTCAGTACGAGTGTCAGACAAAATATGATGTCTCCGATTCGTAAATGCATTTTATAATATTTAATCAGTATTTTCTTATGAGTTTCGATTTGTTACTGACAGCATTTCTACTGATTCCTCCAGTAAATACAGTTTTCTGTATTTGCTTGAATATTTTCTCTTTAAAAATATTTTTTGGAATAACTTGTTAATTTTAATTAGTAATTAAGCACATAAATTCAAATAAGAAAAAAAAGTATAAAACTCACTAGATTTGGCCATTATTCAAATCGACAGTAAATCAGATAATAAATCAGTCGACTAAGGTTAAGACTTTAATTAAAAATAAATTTCACCAGTATACCCGTTGAAGGTCGCTAATCATTAATAACTAGTATTCAAATTTTTTCATATGTACAGTACAAGTCGATCCCCCTATAAGAGGTAGATACGTTCCGTTCTTTATGAATCAATTTTGTAGGAATCACAGCCAATCAGCCCGACACGTGTGAAGTTTACGGACTACGGCTGTTTGAAAGGTTTTCTTCCATAAAAATAATCGATTCTAGACTAATCCAACTCAACATTTCCAAAATACATTTCTCCCGACCCAACGCCACCCGTTCCTTCGATGGTTACAGTCGTCACCCGGTCCTATAACGGAAATCGTCGCCAATTCGTCGACCGATACCGTTAACCCTGTGCTTCTGAAACGGATATACTATCGACTCTGACTCAGAACATTATCCAAAACTTTTCTAACCTGCCAACCAACTCGTTTATTCAACCTCCCTTAACAGGGGCGGATCTAGGTTTTTCGGGACCTAGGGCTTATTGAAGTCCAATGGGGCCCCATTTTTTGTTAAATTAAGAAATCAATTGATCACAATAAAACAAATAATACTATAAAATTATTATGTTGGGTTTTATGAGTTATACTCGGTTTACACCGGTGGCTGTGTACTATGCCGGACCAGAGTCAAGGCATATCAACCAAAACAAAACTAAAATTAAATAAGTGTGTCAGTGTGTGTGTCTGTATTCAGGAATTTCCTAACAATGTGGCATGTATTCAATATAGCGGCCTTCTGTAGTGTGATGTATGTATTTCTACTCAATTGTAATGTTCCCAGGCTTTTGTGTAGTGTGTGTGGTATCACACCTGTACAGGAGAGAACGACAGGTACAATAAGCACCCTATCCATCCTCCACAGATGCCT